ATCTGTAAAATGGCTATAATATACCTACTTCCTCATCAGTTATTTTTAAGTTTAAGAGTTAATATAGGTAAGGTGCTTTAAAAAGTGTCTGGTATATATTAATCACATTTATATGTGATAAAAATAAAGATTAGCATGAGCAGTAGAAAGGATCTTAGGGTAATTTGGGCCAGCATTTCATTTTACAGATAAGGAGGCAAACATAGAGATAGAATTGAGATTAGAAGCCAATTCTGTAGACTTCTAGTCCAGGGTGGTTGCCGCTAGTCCTAGCTGTTTTAGGAATCCATATTGCTTCAAAAGCATTTCCCTTTAGGTTCCTCTTCCCCTCCTCCTTATAGCTGGTATTTCTAGAGTACAGGCATATGTGGCCTCATTTAATCCCTTACAGCAGGCTATGAAGCAAATGCCACTATTATCCCCATTTTTTTATAAGTGGTATCTGAGGCTCAGAGAGGTTCATTTACCTGCCCAAGGCTACACAGCTTCTGAGAAATTCAGTCTGGATTAAAACCCAGACCTCTGACTTCAGAGCCTGTGCTCTTAACCACACCACTGATTTTCCTTAGAAAGTCTCAGTGGAGTACGGTTGTGCTCAATTAAACCATGTGAGTATTTGACAAAGGTGAGCTGCAGGAGCCACAGGGCCCCAGGAATGTAAAGGTATTTTGCAATCCTTTTTCAACCTATATCTGCTTTCCTTTTATTTTTATTTATTTATTTATGTTGTTGTTGTTGTTGTTTGCTTGTTTTCTTTTTTTTGAGACAGAGTTTTGCTGTTGTTGCCCATGCTAGAGTGCAGTGGTGCAATTTCGGCTCACTGCAACCTCTGCCTCCCAGGTCCAAGCAATTCTCCTGCCTCAGCCTCCCAAGTAGCTAGGCATGTACCACCACACCTGGCTAATTTTTGTATTTTTTTTTTAGCAGAGGCAGGGTTTCACCATGTTGGTCAGGCTGGTCTCGAACTCCTGATCTCAAGTGATCTGCCTGCCTCGGCCTCCCGAAGTGCTGGGATTACAGGCATGAGCCACCGTACCCGGCCTGCTTTGTTTTTAGACCTGGTTTCTCTTATGTGTCTTCTGACACAGTGCAGTTACACTAAAACAGGTTACCCAAAGAATCTACCTGATGAAGAGAGTGAAATTTGAAGGTGATAGACCAGACCAAGAAAGGCCAGGAGCAGAGCTCTTTAGAGATAGGGACCATGTGGAGGTTATCAGGGCTCTGGGCAAGGATGCTAATAGACCAGAGATGTCAGATGTCAGAATCCCCACCTTGACCAGTGATTCTTCACTATTAATCCCTGTCAGATCCTGATGACAGCCTTGGACTTCCCTCTCTCTTGGAAAATGCAAAAGCTCACACACCAAAAAAGTATTTTGGAGTAGCTTCAAGGTTCATAACCCCCCCAGCTTCACCTCTGTGCTTGGCAGCATAGTAATTAAGGTCACACTTTGGATTAAATGGCCTAGGGTCAAATCCTCCTTTACTAGTTAGCTGTGTAACCTTGAGCAAGTTACTTAACTTGGTCTTGGGCCTCCAGTTCCCTCAATGAGGGAACTTTTAAATGAGGATAATCATAGCATTTGATTATAGGGTTGTTAGAATTAAATGAGTTAATGTGTGTGACATTCCTAGCACGTGATTAACTCTATAGTAGTGTTCACTATATAATAGTAGTATTGCTGCCCTTGGACCTTAGCCTATTTAGTAAATGTTTATGGACAGAATGAATGAATAATTCTAGTTGAGATGCCAAGCCCGGGGTAGAGCATTCCAATCAGCATGTAGCAGATGGTCTGTAGGTTTCTTGGGGTTTTTTGTTTGTTTGTTTGTTTTGAGATGGAGTCTCACTCTGTCGCCCAGGCTGGAGTGCAGTGGCGCAATCTCGACTCACTGCAAGCTCCGCCTCCCGAGTTTATGCCATTCTCCTGCCTTAGACTCCCGAGTAGCTGAGACTACAGGCGCCCTCCACCATGCCTGGCTAATTTTTTGTATTTTTAGTAGAGACGAATTTCACCCTGTTAGCCAGGATGGTCTGGATCTCCTGACCTCGTAATCTGCCCGCCTCAACCTCTCAAAGTGCTGGGATTACACCGCGCCCAGCCAGTTTTTTGTTTTTCTTTTTTCTTTTTTTTTTTGAAACGGAGTTTCGCTGTTGTTGCCCAGGCGGGAGTGCAATGACACAATCTTAGCTCACCACAACCTCCGCCTCCCGGGTTCAAGCGATTCTCCTGCCTCAGCCTCCCAAGTAGCTGGGATTACAGGCATGTGCCACCACGCCCGGCTAATTTTGTATTTTTAGTAGAGACGGGGCTTCTCCGTGTTGATCAGGCTGGTCTTGAACTCCCAGATGGTCTATAGTTTTGCCAAGATACTGATCCGCTCAACCCTCAGGGCTGCGAAAGCCCCAGTTGGTCGCTTCTGGCTTCAAGCAGTGACATCTGCAATGTGAACTTCTGACTTTAAGCAGCAGCATCTACAATGCAATGTACAAATATCTGTCTCTCTCGGTCACCTGACACGAAAACGGTTTGGGTAGCACCAGTTGAGGATATCAGTTGGTAAGTCATGAGAATCCAGTAGGCAATCCAGATTTCAAGTCCAGGAGAATTTTGAGAATGGGTGTCAGAGAGTCTTCACGACTGCACTGAGTTTAGAGGCCGTGGGCTTCCTGCAGGTTTCACAAGTGTTGGGGTCACAGCTAGAGCAGGCTCCATACCACAGTGGGTACAGAGGATGTCCTGCCAGCGGGAAGCTTCAGTGCTTCCCACCTTGCACATGAGGGACCCAGGGAGTCACTCACAGGATTTGTGGAGAGCCCACAGTGTGAGGTGCTGCAGAAACCACTGTGACGCAGAAACCAGACTAGAGCCCAAAGCCTTGTGAAGGCAACAGACATGAAACAGATAGTGATAAGTACTGAAGTAGGTTAGGCCCAGAGGTGTGAGTGCTAGAAAAAGGTGGTACCTAGGCTGTGGGAGTTTATAACAGGACCCAGCCTTGTCTGCAAGGTGGACTCTAAGAGCTGTAGGAAACTATAGAAGGGTTTTAGTCAAGGAAGTGGTATGTTTAGATTTATACTCTTTTTTTTTCTTACAAACCCACTTTTATTTATTTACTTTTCATTAGTTTAAGTCCTTGAGGGGCACAGCATCACACAGATTCTGTGTTCAATAGCCTTAGCAAGATTGCTTGGGAATTTAGCACAAACCATGCCACTGTTTCCACAGGGCTGAGTTTACCTTTCCCCAGATTATGCTGGTTTTCTTCAGTTTGCTGCCAGCAGTCAGTGTGGCGTTCTTTGCTTTGTACATGTAAGTACATCTTTTGCCTAAATAGAATTCAGTTTCATTTCGAGCATAAATACCTTCAATTTTCTTTTTTTTTTTTTTTCGGAGACGAAGTCTGGCTCTGTCGCCCAGAATGGAGTGCAGTGGTGCCATCTTGGCTCACTGCAAGCTCCGTCTTCCGGGTTCACGCCATTCCCCTGCCTCAGCCTCCCGAGTAGCTGGGACTACAGGCACCCACCACCATGCCCGGCTAATTTTTTTGTATTTTTAGTAGAGACAGGGTTTCATCACGTTAGCCAGGATGGTCTCGATCTCCTGACCTTGTGATCCACTGTCCTCAGCCTCCCAAAGTGCTGGGATTATAGGCGTGAGCCACCGCACCCAGCCAATACCTTCAATTTTAATAAGAGCTGTGTCCTCCCTTTGGTTCTGGAGGCCCAACTTACAGCTAGCAGAAAATGGCCTTGGACTACAGCCTTCCAAATGTATTGTATTTATCTTATTATTACTGTTATTTTTGAGACAGGGTCTCTCTTTGTCACCCAGGCTGGAATTCAGTGGTACAACCATAGCTCACTGCAACTTCAAACTCCTGGGGTCAGGCAATCCTCCCACCTCAGCCTCTTGTGTAGCTAGGACTGCAGGCATGTGCCACTACACCTGGCTAATTTTTTTTTTTCTTTTGTAGAGACAGTGTCTTGCTGTGTTGCCCACATTGGTCTTGAACTCCTAGCCTCAATTAATCCTCCTGCCTCAGCCTCCCAAAGCACTGGGATTGCAGGCATGAGCCACTACACCCTGCCCATATTTGCCTTTTAGAAGTCCTGTTCTGAGCAGGCCTCTACAGGCTCCAAGATGGTGGGAAGAGAGCTTTTTAAAAAAATTCACCCTGACAGCATAAACATGAATGTTAGAACATAGTTGGAAGAGGCTGAGGCAGGAGGATCACTTGAGCCCAGGAGTTCGAGGTTACAGTGAACTGTGATGGAGCCACTGCACTCCAATCTGGGTGGCAGAGTGATACTTTGTCTCTAAAAAAGGAAAGAAAAGGAAATGAATTGGAAACAGACAAAAGTTTCTCTGAGGACATAAGTTAGAAGACTCCTTATAGTAGTCAGGAGGTGAAAGGTAATACTTGCCTGAAATAAGTACCTGGACTTTGAGGGAAAAGGGGGACTCAAGCATGATCCCCTGCCAATTCTGGGTGGAAGGCAATACCATCCCTGGGATAGGGGATACTGGAAGTAAAATAGTTCTGGAAGGTTGGGACACATTGTGAGTTCTGTTAGGGACTTATTCCATGTGTGGTACATGTGGGATGTTCCCTGAGGAAGGCCAGTGGATAGATGGCTCCGAGCACAGGAGAGATGTTGGAGTAGGCAGAGAGAATCATCAGCAGTGGGGTTGACTGCCTGCCTTCAGCAGGGCTCCTTCCTAAGGGGAGAAAGTTTAGAAATGAATTTTGATCAGTGATTTCTTACTTTATGACCAGTTTGATTGGCATGCTTCTCTTCTACGCTCAACTTTTAGAATTCTTAGATAATGTATATTTTGAGCCCTTTTCATAAAAACCAATATAGTTCACTACTTTGAAGAATTCACCTTTTTTCTTCTTGGCTGGCTGGCCTCATGTAACTCCTTCCCTGAGTATCTTTGCAGTAGGAGAAAGCTGATTAACTCATAATGTGGTACTGTTCGTTTTCTTAGATTTGTGACCCAGAAGGAAATCTCTGGCCTCGGCTGTGGCTCTTGGTGCTGGCCAGAAGCCAACTTCATGTCTGAGTGCGCGAGCAGCAGTTTGCCATGGAGAGCTTGGGGCTGCAGACGGTGACCCTTAGTGATGGGACAACAGCCTACGTCCAGCAAGCTGTCAAAGGTGAGTATTTCTGGAGACCTCAGGATCCTGCCCTGTCCCTCAGCCTTTGGAAAGGAGTGTCCATTTCTAAGAGTCCCACCATCACCTTGCCCTCCCGCCTGCTTACCCTTGCCCACGAGCACAACTTGCTCTGCATTAGAATCTCCTGTGGTGCTTGATGAAAAGGGAACTCTAAAATAAAATGCTACAAGTCAGACAATCCCAGTCATAGGAACCAGTACCTCTCAAAGACAGAATTCCTAATATGTATTGAGTAGTTCATAAATATTTCTGGAATGAACACAGTGTTAGTTATGACTCCCTGCTTTTCATATCCCCTGTCACAGTTTTTTAGTGCTTTCTAGAAGCAGTTTATCATCTTAATTCAAGTATATTCAAACATTCAAACTACTAAGCATCTACCATGTTCAAGATACTCTTCTAAGCCAGGCATAGTGGCTCATGCCTATAATCCCAGCACTTAGGAGCCTGAGATGAAAGGATCACTGTAGGCCAGGAGTTGGAGACCAGCCTGGGCAACATAGCAAGACTCTGTCTCTAAAAAAATAATAAAAATAATAATCTGGGTGCAGTGGCATGCACCTTTAGTCTCAGCTATTCAGGAGACTGAGGCAGAAGGATCACTGAAACCCAGGAGTTTGAGGATTCAGTGAACTATCATTGCACCACTGCACACCAGCCTGGGTGACACAGCAAGATCCCATCTCTAAAAAAATTTTTTTTTAAAAGATACTCTTCCAGATTCAGAGAGGAACACCCAAGCAGAGATCTCATGCCCTAATCTCTACTAGGGGATGCCAGAATTTAAAATATAGGGCACATAGTTAAATCTGAATTGGACATAACAATGAATACTCTTGTAGGATACATATGTCCCAAATGTTGTAGGGACATATGTATACTACATACTAGGGACATACATATACCTCATATAAGGGATAGACATATGTAAACATGGGATTAAGCTGGGCTTGGTGGCATGCACCTGTAGTCTCAGTTACTTGGGAGGTTCAGATGGGAGGATCTCTTGAGGCCAGAAGTTTGAGGTCAGCCTAGACAACAGCAAGACCCCATCTCAAAAAAAGTAGGGAGTGTTAAATACTATAAAATACTAAAATAATAATACTAAGTTCTAAAAACAAAATGTATTATTTGAAATTCAGATTTACCTGGGCATCCTGGATTTTATCTGGCAATCCTACCCCCACTCTCAAGGTACTTAAAATCAAGGTAGGTGTGGAGTCAGAATAAAGTGTTTAGGGCAAGGCCTGCAGGCCAGGGACACTCTTCCTTTCTTGCCAGTGTTCTCAGGCAGCCAGATAGCATTCGTGTCTTCCTTGGACAGCACTGGGCAAATACTGCCCTGTTCCTACTCTTCATTTTCTGGACTCCATGATTGTCACTGTCCTCATAAAGCATTGTCATTGCAACATTGCCCTCCATTTCAACACACTATCAGAATATATTTCCGCTCCTGTGTTTACAGATAAGTTGTTTATTGATTTCATTTTAAGTTGTCTGTTTCCTGGTGATGACTAAGGAGACCCCTTAATCTCATCAGTAAGCTCTTTCCATATGACAGTCTGTGGGGGTCCCTTCTGGAAAGGTTTCTTGTCAAGAGCTGTCTGTGACATGTGGGTTCTTGCTGGCTTCATCTTCTTGAGAATGCGACTTCTCTAGAATACTTTTGAAGCCTGAAACTCTCTGTTTGCAGACTTCCCACTCCAGGTCTTGCCCCCCCAGTGCAGTCTCCGTGGGATGGAAGAACTTAGAACTCTAGCTAGGGTTGTGTTTACTCCTTAGACCCAGTTAGTTCCTATGCCTCAGTCTTCCACTGAGAATTAATGGTCAAATGAATGAATAAAAAGCAAGTGACCACATCTGACCTGAGAGAGCCACTCTTTCCTATATCTGTCTGTCTTATGTATTTCTTTATTGTGTCAGTCTTCCTGGCTGTTCTGTGCCCACTCTGTGGTGTTGCAATGTGCACTTACACACATGCGCAAACACTCACTCACAACAGATTTTCCCTCTGCTCAGGGTAGAGCTGTCCTTCAGAGACCAGAACCACACTTTCCTGAAAGGCTTCTCTGACTGGTGAGCTCCTCTGAAGCTTTTGACTGAGGCACATTTGTCTCTCTCTGCCAGAAACCCTAAAATTGTATGAGACTTATCTTTAATTAGGATGAATATAAAATGTATTATTCAAATACAGCATTTTAAAAGTGGAAGAGTGTGCTATTAATAAATGCACTGGGATGGTTCCAGGCAAACTGGGGCATATGGTCACCTCTGTAATGGGATACGAGGCCCTTGTCAGTCAGCTGTTCTCCCCGCTGTCTCTCTCCATTGTAGTCTCTAGTTGTTTGAGGAAATAGTAGGCTAAGTTTTTTCTTCAGACAACTCTTCTCAACATTTTGTTTTCTACCTTGAAGTAGTACCCACTCTGCTGGCAGTAGCTTGCCAATGCTTTCAGAACCCCAAGTACTGATGCCCTTGCCAGGACAGATAAATTGTTAAAATGAGGGTAGCCTACTGCTCTGTGGGTGGGAGGGAAGAAAATGGGTTCCTCTTCCCCCCATCTCAGCTGCCTTTCCTATTTCTTACCTTTATCTCCACCTTACCTGCCTTTGGTTAGTTGTAGGACTGTTACTGACCCCAAGAAGACTCAGTTTGGGAACAAGTTTGGGGATTCCTCTAAAGGGTAGATGTCAGCAGAGACTTGGACTGGAAGTAACTGTCTTTCCCACCTGAGTGCTCAGTTTCCTAAACCTCAGTCTTCTAAGGAAAGGACAAATCACTTGTCATTAACTTTTTTTTTCTTTTTTCTTTCTTTTTTTCTTTTTGTTTTTTGTTTTTTTATTTTGAGACAGAGTCTTACTTACCCTGTCGCCCAGCCTGGAGTGCAGTGTCACCATCTCGGCTCACTGCAACCTCCACCTCCCGGGTTCAAGCGATTCTCCTGCCTCAGCCTCCCGAGTACCTGGTACTACAGGTGTGTGCCACCATGCCTGGTTAATTTTTTTGTATTTTTAGTAGAGACACGGTTTCATCATTTTGGCTAGGCTGGTCTTGAACTCCTGACCTCAGGTTATCTGCCTGCCTCAGCCTCCCAAAGTGCTGGGATTATAGACGTGAGCCACCACACTCAGCCTAACTTTTTTTTTTTTTTTTCTTTTTGAGACAGTACCTCACTCTGTCACCCAGGCTGGAGTACGGTGGTACAATCTCAGCTCACCGCAACCTCTGCCTCCTGGGTTCAAGTGATTCTCCTGCCTCAGCCTCCTGAGTAGCTGGGATGACAGGCACCGCCCCACCATGCCCGGATAATTTTGTATTTTTAGTAGAGACAGGATTTCACCATGTTGGCTAGGCTGGTCTCGAACTCCTGACCTCAGGTGATCTGCTCGCCTCGGCCTCCCAAAGTGCTAGGATTACAGATGTAAGCCACCATGCCCAGCCTTTTTTAAATTTATTTTTTATTTTTTTGAGACAGGGTCTTACTCTCTCACCCAGGCTGGACTGCAGTGGCACAATCATGGCTCGCTGCAACCTCTGCCTCCTGGGCTCAAGCAATCCTCGCACCTCAGCCTCCTGAGTAACTGGGACCACAGGCATGCACCACTACACCCAGCTAATTTTTGTGTTTTTTGTAGAGACAGGGTTTTGTCACATAGCTCAGGCTGGTCTCAAACTCCTGAGCTCAAGCGATCCACCCACCTTGGCCTCCCAAAGTGCTCGGATTATAGGCATAAGCCACCAAATCTGACCATCATTACCTCTTCAATCTCTCTTTCTTTCCTTTCTCATTTCTCCTCTTCCTTCCCCCTCTCTCAGACTCACTGGACACAAGGAAGGGTCGTCTAGTTCTAATTTAAAGAGCCTTATTAGAAGTGCTTTCCAGTTAGGTAAAAGAAGAGTAATATCTTCGAAGTCTAGAGTCTTGTTCATTTTTATGCTGCTTGTTGTGTTGCCTTAGGTGATCTAATTTTTTACTAGAAAATTGAAATGAAAATATCAGAGATCAATGAAGGAACCATTACTCAACAGTGGCAGTGGAATAAGACCTACATGGACACATAATAGCATAATAGTTGTACTCACATAGTTCTCTATTGCTTTACTTTCCATCTCTTCTAAAATGCATATTGGGCTTATAATAAAAGCTAGAATTTATTGAGGGCTGACCATATATACCTGGCACTCGGAATTCCCAGTCTTTTATATACGTTAACTCATTTAACCCTAACAGAAACCCTATAAGAAAGACACAGTTTTCAATCCCCATTTTACGAAAAGGAAACTGAGGCACGAGGTTAGTTAAATAAGCTGTCCAAGATCACACAGCTGTTAAAAGGTAGAGCTGGAATTCAAACTCAGGAGGCCTGGCCCGGTTCCAGAGTCTATTGTTTTTAACCATTAAGCGATATAGCCTGCCTTCACAGGGGCTCCTGGTCTTAGCACACTGTCATAGTGAGGGATGAGGGGATATGTTTTGATTTTGTTAGTTTGAGGTATATCTGAATTTTGACCCATTGGGGCCCGTCCAGATTTAAGGGCCATTAGTTCAAGTCTCAGCAACTTACTATTAGGTTGGAAGTTTCCACTTGGCTGGGCATGGATAGAATAATAAATGAAGTTACTCCTCCTGTCAGTAACTGGAAGGGAATCTGTTGGGAGATGATGGGTTCTGGCAAGGCAAGTGTCTTCACCCTTAGTGTCTCAAGGCCCAGGCCTAGGGAGATGGAGCAAGGGAACAAGGAAGATGTTACCCATGCTTAGACCTGCAGCCTCATGCCTAGAGACTCAAATAAATCTCAGCTAAAAACAGGCAGGTGTTTATTAGCCCTCTTCTGGTCCTGGCCCATTTCTCTCCATTTCACCCTAACAGGAGAAAAGCTTCTTGAAGGGCAGGTGATCCAGCTCGAGGATGGGACCACTGCATACATTCACCAGGTGACGGTACAGAAAGGTGAGGGCACCCCAACACACCATGCCTTGTGGAGGGAAGCCTGACAGCCCCCACCAAGGGACCCCTCCATGACACTGAGCTCCAGGGAAAAGCAGGCATTGCTCTCGTTACAGAATCTCTCTCCTTTGAGGATGGTCAACCTGTGCAGCTGGAAGATGGCAGCATGGCTTACATACACCGCACACCCAAAGGTAGGGTCACCATCATCACAACTGGGGAAAGGATGGGAGGCCGGACAGGAGGATGGGGTGGCACACAACTGGGGTGTAGACATGGGAGCTGTCATCTCCACGGTACACACATGCTCACCTGGATTAGCAGCCTTGCCCACCTTCCCTGGTGCAGACCACAGGAGCAGCTATGTCTGCCACCGGGAGGTGAGCCTTGGGGATCAGTCACATGGACTTTGATGGTGGCCTTGGCTCCAGCACAGCCACAAAGTCTTAGGGCTTTAAATAGGACCTGAGGATATCATCCAAGACGAGGATAAAAAACTAGTATTTAAGAATGAAGTTCCTAAGGTGCTGAAGAATAACAATTTATTCCTTCTGCAGGTAGTTTCTTGAGTGACTGTTGCATGCCTGGCGTTGTGTTAGGTGTAGAGTATACAAGAGAGAACAAAGTCAGACACAGTCCCTGCTCTCCTAGAGTCTAGAGGGGGAAATAGAAGTGAAACAAGCCATCAGTGATGAACTGATCATACAAACAGAGATCAGGCTCAGGGAGGGCTTCTCTGAGGAAGTGATGCTTGAGCTGAGAGGTATAGAATGAGGTAGACTTAGCCGGGGGAAAAGGGATGGCAGAGAGGGTTCAGTACTTCAGGCAGAAGGAATAGCATATGCAGGCCTAGAGCTGGGGGGAAGAAAGAACAGCACATTCCAGGAACTGCTAGGAGCAAGAGCCCTGGGAGCAAAGGCAGAACGAGCAGGAGGAAACTGGAGAAAGACAGCGCTGGCGCACTCTGGGTTTGAGTGTCAGGGTGAGGATTTTGGTCTTTATCATGAGACCAGTGGGAAGCATTTAAACTCTTTAGGCAGTTAAGTGACATGGTCACAATTGTGTCCTGCAAAGATCCCTCTGGATGTTGTGCTGCCTGGAGGGACCTAGAAGGGGTGAGGAGTGACTGGTCAGGAGGCTCTTGTGGTCATCTAAGCCAAGATGATCATGGGCCCCTGTCAGGTCCTCAAGGAGCTTGTGAGTTCCCATTTAGTGTACCATAGGAGACCTCGTCCTTAGGTGAGACAGCCCCAGGAGGAGGAACAGCAAGAGTGGATCACAAAGTGAAGGACCATGAGAAATTGGATGCTGAAACCCTCCTTGGTATATGTATCTCTCATTAACTTAAAGGTAGGGTCCCAGCTGTATCTCTTCCCCTTGTGTGGCATCAGGGCTAACCGCGTGTTCCCTGCAGAAGGCTATGACCCCAGCACCCTGGAAGCCGTCCAGCTGGAAGATGGCTCCACTGCCTACATTCATCACCCTGTGGCTGTGCCATCGGAGAGCACCATCCTGGCCGTACAGACAGAGGTGGGCTTGGAGGACCTGGCAGCAGAGGATGATGAGGGCTTCAATGCAGACACCGTGGTGGCCCTAGAGCAGTATGCCAGCAAGGTGAGCATGCAGAGCCTGACACAGTCTGTCACTCTCTAGACAACAGGGCCTTGCCTGTGCACTGCCTCTTGGCCCTGCCAGAACTTTGCCTCTTAAGAGGATAAGGGCAGCCCTGTGCTTGGGCACCATGTGGGATATTCCCTTTGCCCCTCCACCCCAGCTCCCCCAACTCACCTGTCACACATCGTTGTCTAGGGCATGCAACACAGCCTGGCCTGGCTGCTGACAGCTATTTACGCTCACTTTTGTTTACGCTGTCTCTGCAGAGGGAAGGCTGCCATAAGAAACAGTGACATCCTTATGCTGGGGAGTTAGGCATAGCTTCACTTTGGCTGCTGGACTAATCCTCTGCACTAGCTGGGAAAGCCCTGCCAGTGCCTTGTATGAGCTTTCTAGTCTACTGAGGTAATTGTATTTATTTCTTCTCTGTGACTCACTTAGTCATTTGGAAAATTAACCTCAGTGAGCTATGACAAGGGCATGTGCAACAGAACAGCTGGGATTCCTGGATTATGAGGCCCACACAGTAGCTCAGCTGGAAAGGATAAGGGTCCTGGCTCTGCAAATACCAGTTAGTCCAAGTTCTTTCTGCCGGAACCATGGTCCTGCCTGTGGGGAAAAGGGTACAGAGATCTCTGAGCTTTCCAAACCAGGGTGTTCCCTTCCTGGAATGACTGCAGAGCCTCAGGCTGAATGTACCAGGGCTTCCTGCACGTTCCTTCCTTCCAGCAGTTTTACGCGAAGATGGGGGAAGTTTTTTATTTATAACGAAACCAGTGTGGCTGAATGGTGGAGGAAAAAAGGAAGTCCTTATGTCTTTTCAAAATGAAGCACAGGCTAGGTGCAGAGGCTCACACCTGTAATCCCAGCACTTTGGGAGGCTGAGGCAGGTGGATCACTTGAGTCCAGTCTGGGCAACATGGCGAAACCTCATCTCTACAAAAAAAATACAAAAACAAATTAGCTGGGCATGGTGGTGCCCACCTGTGGTCCCAGCTACTGGGAAGCAGAGGTGGGCGGATCACGAGGCGGTGATTGCAGTGAGCTGAGATTGTCCCACTGCACTCCAGCCTGGGCAACAGAGGAGGACCCTATCAAAAAAAAAAAAAGCAGCAGCAGCAGCACAAAACTTTACAGCAGGCTACGTTCACTCCCACCCCAGTTCCCTGAGGTATATTTTAGAGACCAAATGTGAGATTCGATGTTGATGTAAAGAGAAGTGGATTTTATTTAACTCATGAGCCCTGAGATCTGTGCTTGCTCTACCGCTACCTAGTCCAAACTTGGGTCAGTCCCTCCTCTCCCAGACCTCAGCTTATTCCTAATATGATGAGATGGGACAAGATGATCTCAGAGGTCACTTTTATCCCCGATGTTCCTTGATTCCCGTGATTACCCCAGGAGCTAGTGAGACATGGAATGAAATCCAAGTGCCTGTGTGGGTTAGCCCGCCAAGCAGGTCTGGCCACCTCTGACCCTACCCTTTACCCAGAAGCTGCTTAAGTGTCTATGAAACTCGCAGCTGCTTGAGCCCCTGAGCTGGAGCCTAACTAGACAGACCTTGCCATGAATTTGGCGTTACCCCTGTGTCCCCTGCTCACCGTGACTTGCAGAGTTCAGTTTCAGGAGCTCCTGGAAAGACCAGAGTGTGAGTCTGAAACAATCCAGAAAGAAAGACTAAGGAACAGTCCCACCAGGACCCTGCCCCGGCAAGCAAAAGAGCAATAAGGGCTCTTTGCATCCAGCGGCTGGTGTGAGATGGGTGGTTTTAGCAATATCCCCAGAAGAGGAGACAAAAGGGGAGGACTTGTCATCTGGGTGCTGTCATTAGAGCTGACATTTCTGGTGGGAACTGCAGCACTCCCCTGGGTGCTTCTGGTCGTGGCCACCTCACTCTAGGCCCCATGTCCTATCAGATGAACCTGGGTGAGCTCATCTCCACAGCAAGCCCCCTTGTTTATGTACTTTTTAAGCACTAGTTTCATGCCAGGAGTAAGGGGACCCCTCCCATCAGAAGATGGAGGTCTTGAGAGTTGCAGGCTCCTAGGCGTGTGTGCTAAGAAGGAGGGTTTCTGGCACTTGGCCCAGTGCAAGCATGGCCATTCAGACAACCTCCCTTTCCACCTTACCTAGCTGTCTATGTGATATCCTTTCTTCAATAGCTGTCACAGCCACTATAACCTGTAGGTCTCCCTTTATCCCATCAGAGATGGGTGGTGACTCCCCATGCCCACCCTGTTTCTTCTGTAGCATGCCCCAGCATCTGTTCCTTGTCTGTCTAGGTATGTTCTTCTGCCCCAGAGGCCCCTGACAGGCTTAACCCTGCCTATTGGGTCTTAAGCTGTCAGCAGGGCCCTCTGTCCCACCTTCTTCACTGGGGAGAATACATATAGGGATCTCAAGATTTTTCCCCCAGGTTCTTCATGACAGCCAGATTCCGCATAATGGAAAAGGACAGCAAGTTGGAGACAGAGCATTCCGCTGTGGCTACAAGGGCTGTGGGCGTCTCTACACCACCGCTCATCACTTAAAGGTAAGGTTGCTGGTAGACAGCCATCAGCTCTGCAGTCTTCCCTTCCAGGCTGTAATTCTACCTTTCCACTTTGATTGGAATTGGTCCCTGCCCTCAAGTTGCTGGAGGGAAGAAATGAGGGTACACAGGAATGTCAGGACAGAGCGTTTGACACACATGAATGGTACAGGAGGGAAGAGAATCAGGGTCCTAAAGAAAACCAAAGAACCCAGGTCATACCCTTGCTCCTCTGAATTATGTGATCGCTTGTCCTCACAGGTGCATGAACGAGCTCATACAGGTGACCGTCCATACAGATGTGACTTCCCCAGCTGTGGAAAGGCCTTTGCCACAGGTAACCTGCCTGGTGGGCTGCTTCCAGTTGAGGGTGGAAGGTTCTAGTTCTGTTTGGGATCTCCGTGAAGGGAACCCAACAGCAGGCTGCTTTCCTGGAGAAACTACCGTCAGAGTACTGTGACTTGCAGGGTGCTCTCTCTGGAGGAAACCTTGTTACGGGAGTGAAAGGCAGCATGGTTCAGGCCAGCAGAAGGAGCCTGGAGGGTTGGTGGAGAGACCCAGCCTCTTGTATCAGCTCTGATGCCAACCAGCTGTGGATTATTGGGTGGGCCATTGCATCTCTCTGGGCTTATTTTCCCCTCTGTGAAACTAGGACCTTTAGTCACGAGTTCTCTTAAGTTTCTTTCATGCTTATGTTCTGGTATGGCTCCAACTGCACCTGGAGAGGGAAGCAGGGCAGAGTGGGCTTTTCCAGCCCCTGCCCAGGCAGGGTGGGATAGAGGCAGACATGGGTTTCTTGAGCCAAAGGAGATGGAGAGCCTGTGCATGAGGTGGATGGTGGAGGATTAGACCCCACTGGGTGCTCATCTCACCCCTCCCTGCCACATGTGGACAGGCTATGGACTGAAGAGCCACGTTCGTACCCACACTGGTGAGAAACCATACAAGTGCCCAGAGGAGCTGTGCAGTAAGGCCTTCAAGACCTCAGGAGACCTGCAGAAGCATGTCCGTACCCACACTGGTATGCTGGGCCCTGCCCACTCCAACCCCATTCCCTGGGCAAAAGGAATTCAGCTTGCCTTTCAGACTTAGACCTGGAGCCCGGTACCATCCCCTGCTTGCTCCGGCATGGCCCTCTTTCCCACAGCCCTCCTCACGTCCCACCATTTGCATAGGGGAACGCCCGTTCCGGTGCCCTTTTGAGGGCTGTGGCCGCTCCTTCACCACGTCCAACATCCGCAAGGTACATGTGCGCACCCACACAGGCGAGAGGCCCTACACCTGCCCGGAGCCCCACTGTGGCCGCGGCTTCACCAGCGCCACCAACTATAAGAATCATGTGCGCATCCACACAGGTGGGCTAGCTGGCATGCGAGGACTACCCTCGCTCAGGCCCCAACCCCTCTACTGTAGTCTTCCCATCTAAGACACATTCCCAACTCCCAGCCCAGAACCCTTCTGTGCCAGCCATTCCAGGCTGGTCTGGGGGCGGGGTTTCTCCAGAACAACTCCACTTGCAGTGAGCAGTTCCTCCATTTCCAGTTAGATCCAATCTGAAAGGTATTGCCAGTCCTCTCTGGGGTCCCTCAGCTCTCTACCACCCCTCTACACCCACCTTGAACTCTCCAACTCTGACTGAGCTCCTGGAAAGAGGCCAGGGTCAGGAATGGTGGGGAAGAAGCAGAGTGAACTGTCGCCTTCAACTCTTCACCTTATCCGCCGTCCATGACTCCTGTGTATCCTCACCCTCCCCAGTGTTGTGTGCCCTCGTCCAGCTTTCCGTGTTGTCTTTCAGCATGTGTGTCCCCTCTTTCCCATCACAACTGATACTTCAGTCATCCTTGCCTCTTGCCTCTGCTGTTCAGCACTCTCACCCTCCCACCCTCAACCTTATAAGCCCCAGTGCCCCCACCAGCCCCTTCACTAGCCCCAGCCTTGCCCTGTCTCCCATTTCCTTTCCACCTTGTCTCTGGATTCAGTGGTTCAACACTCTTGTCCTCTCTGTGTTCCACTGGCCATCTTCCCCAACCCTGTCCATTCAGAGTCTCAGGTCTCAGTCCCTCTCCCTCCCTCTGGCTCTCCCTTCACCAACCCTGTCCCTTACCCCTGTCCCCTTAGTTTCCCCCTTGCCAGCCCCAGTTCCCACCCCCCTCACAGCCCAGTGTCCCCAGGGGAGAAGCCATACGTTTGCACGGTGCCAGGCTGCGGGAAACGCTTCACCGAGTACTCGAGCTTGTATAAGCACCACGTGGTGCACACACACTGCAAGCCCTACACCTGCAGCACCTGCGGCAAGACCTACCGGCAGACCTCCACCTTGGCCATGCACAAGCGCAGCGCCCACGGTGAGCTGGAGGCCACGGAGGAGAGCGAGCAGGCCCTCTATGAGCAGCAGCAGCTTGAGGGTAAGGGGAGTGGGCAGGGAGTGAGAGTGGGGACAAGCCAGGCCTCCCCATGGCATCTGGTAGCAGGTGTCAGCCTTGGCTCTCCTCTCCCAGCCGCCTCTGCAGCCGAGGAGAGCCCGCCACCCAAACGACCCCGGATAGCTTACCTTTCGGAGGTGAAGGAAGAGAGTGATGACATCCCAGCCCAAGTGGCCATGGTGACCGAAGAAGATGGGGCCCCCCAGGTGGCTCTGATCACTCAGGATGGTGCCCAGCAGGTACAGGCCCTGGAGTACAGAGGTGCCACACTAGCTGGCACTCTCCACTCTCTCTGGGGACTCTGGGAGCCTTGAAGTTCTGACAGCCCCACTGCCACCCAGCTTCCTGTTTCAGTTTTATAGACCTCAGAGGCTGAGGCTGAGGGGACCACATCTTGTAGCGCAACCTCTTCTCCTGTGCTTCCAGCTCAGTCTCTGGGGCTTCTGGAGCACAGTTAGTAGTTTCTCTTTTTACTTGGAGGCTGACAGGTCCTGTTCATCTGAACAGGACATGGGATGTCCTTCTCGAGAGAGGCATGTGCGTATAGCGGCCAGAACATGATATGGGGTCTGAAAGCTGGGGTCTGGTCCTACCAGTGTACTAGCCAGCTGCATAACCTAACCATACTCTTGTTAGAAAGTGCATCTGTGCTTTCTAGAGTTGTTAGGACACAATCAGGTGGCGACCCTGAGCTACATACAACAGGGCCCAGAGGCAAAATGGTGATAAATAGAAGTAGGCAGTGGAATTCTTCTAGTATGGCCTCTCTTTGCAGCCTTGGACCCATTTCGTTTGCCTGTCACCCATCCCTTCCACCACTGTGACATGAAACTAATAAGCTGACCTTGTCTGGGAGAGCAGGTATATCTTCCTTAGGGACTTTCAGACAACCCTCCACTGACACTGCCAGCTCATCTTCCCCCTCCTGTTGGCAGGTCAGCCTGTCCCCGGAAGACCTCCAGGCCCTGGGGAGTGCCATCAGTATGGTCACCCAGCACAGCAGCACCACTCTCACCATCCCCAGTCATGATGCCGACCTGGCCACATCTGGCACACATACAGTCACCATGGTCAGCGCCGATGGCACCCAGACGCAGCCCGTATGACCAGGGGGTTTGCTTGGGGTTTCTTATTTTGTCATTCCTTTCCATGGGGTGGGCATTAAAGTGCACTCTAAACTAGTCAAGCTTTCTTACCAGACAAAGATTCCCCACAGTTCATGGGCCATGAGCAGCTCTCATCTTTAAAAACAGTTGAATGGAGGTTAAGAGACACTTTATACATCTCAATTCAACCCTGACTTGTTTTGCAACCTTAGGCAAATCACTTTTCCATGGACTTCTGTCCATTTTCAAGTGAGAGGATTAAAATATCTCTGGAATTTTTTACAGCTCTGTCCTGTGATTCAAAATCCCTAAATTAAATTGGGCTCTAAGTTGGGAGGAAACCCAGCCTTACTCAGATCTGAGCCTCAGGCTAATTAATCTGACCCATATGGTTTTATCCATTCTCTTCTGGGTTGTTTCCAGCACCTTAATTGGAGGGATGTTTGTTTGGATCGTGGGGAGGGAGAGTATACTGCGGGTGGAATGGAAGACCTCCTTTTGCCTTTCAGGTCACAATCATTACCTCTGGGGCTGTGGTGGCTGAGGACTCAGGTGTAGCCTCTCTTCGTCATCAACAGGTGGCACTGTTGGCCACAGCCAACGGAACGCACATTGCAGTGCAAGTGAGTAGAGATCTGGGAGGAAAGGGCATCCCATGGCCAGAGAAGGCAACAAGGAATAAAGGGAATTAGATGAGGATCTTGAAGAGAAGGGTATCTGACTCAAAAAGAGCCCATTTCAGAGGACAGATCCCTTTCCTCCTGCATCCATGCATCTGTCTCAGGCTCGCTCTTGGCTGAGGCAGAATGTTGAAGCCTCTTCTGGCCTTCAGGATAACTCCGATGGCAGTCTACCTGTGGTCCAAGTCCTTCATCTCTTTGTGTCTCTATTTCTTCATCTGGAAATTGAGGAGGCTGAAGTAGATGATCACCACGGTTCTCTTCAGCCAGTCCTTCTTCCGTGAGCAAGCTGGTCTCTCTGACCCTGACTATTCCAGGGCCCCCTGGCCATGCCTAGCCTAATAGGACTCTTCATCCGTGAACTTCATGTTTATTGGAGCCCTACTAAGTGCTCAGTGTGTGGCACTGGATAGATGGGGGAGAGTAAAAAAAAAAAGTAGGCCACATACTACTAACACTGGAATCTAGCAGGGAGGATCTCACTCACTCCTTCCTTCTGCACCCCCTTCCCCACAGCTGGAGGAACAGCAGACCTTAGAGGAGGCCATCAGTGTGGCCACCGCGGCCATGCAGCAAGGGGCCGTGACCCTGGAGACAACAGTGTCGGAGAGTGGCTGCTGAGTCCAAGAGGGCTGGGTCTCACACCATGCTGGAGGAAGTGCCATGCTGCATGGCCACTCTTGCCCCCAAGGGCCCAAGCTGTGGCTGACACATGGAAGGTGGCCACATAGGTCTCTGGGGTGAGAAGACAGCAAGAAAATGGCCTAACTGAAGGAAATGGGGACCCTGCCCAAGATGGGGGCCAGGCAGCTGGAATCAGGGGAGTGCATCATCCCCGGGAGCTGACAACAAACCAAGCTACACCAGGGTGCCCTCCTCTCAAAATCAGCTGGGCGCCCGCTCTCCTAAAGAACATCCTTCTGGCCCTCCGTCTGCTCTCCTTCTCAGGTAGAGATTGGGGCTGCTATGGGAACTGGCCCTCTTAGGGGAGAGCCACAGACAGCTCTTCAGCCCAGTAGCAGCAGAGCAGGCCCTGTCCTGCCCTCCCAGCAATAACCACCTTTCTGGAGGCCAGCTGAGATGCCTGTACTTGGCACCAGGGACTTCCTGACACCACAGTCAATTAATTCCTCAGGGGCCTGTGGCTGGAGAAAAGGTGCCCAGCCCCCGCCACTCCTCAGCTGCCCCCCAACCTCTCTATGGCAGAGAGGTAGGGAGTGGCCCTGTACATAGACTGCTGGGGATTGGGTTTGATTTGTTTTGGTTTTTTTTAAATTCCATTTTGATAATTTTTTTCCTGCTCTGGGTGGTGGTGGTGGCACATGGATGAATGAGTATTTAATAAAAGTTCCAAATTTCCACCTGGGTCCTCCATCCTTTCAGCTCTAGGCCCGGGTGGCAGGGTTGATCAAGTCAGGCTCTCAGCCCTGTCTCCCTGGCACAAACCCCACTCAGCCTTGGTGCCAGAGTGGTGGGGCTGGCCTGCCAGGGACACAGATGGGAAGGAAGCCCAGTATAAGATAAAGCCCTGAGGAGCTGCTGGTGGCTTCTTGCCCACAGCTGAGCAGGTGGGCTCCAGGGTGGCCAAACAGGACCAGGATGACCGCTGCTTCCAGGCTCTGGCTGAATCTCGGGCCTCAGGTGATTAATCTGGAGGAACTCTTTTCCTGCCTTTTCTTGTGGAATTTAGTCAGAGCCCCTCCAACCCAGCCACCCCCAAATCTCACAGCTTCTCCAAGAGGGCAAAGCCCCAGGTTAGAGTGAGGCTGGGGGGCACCTTTGCCAAGGTTACTGAGGTTCAAGGAGCAGAGTCTGATGCCTCTGGAGCTGGTCTTGGCTCTATTACCCAGCTCTGTGGGTGCCCACCTAGATATCTAGGACTGTGCTATTGGATTTCAAAGCCACAACCATGCCCCAAAAGTGAGTTGGTGAGACCAGATCAGCTTTGGTGGGAGGAAGGGATACAGGGGAAGGCACTTGATGGGAAGAAGCTCTGGGTTTGACTCTGCCTAGAAAGGAACATTGCAGGGATTAGAGGTGCCTCTTTTCCTCTCTCTGCTGTGATGGATATGCCCCAACCCCTTCCTGCCTCCTAGGATTGGAACTCCCTCCTCTGATCCAGGCATCCTCTCCTAGGATGCCTAGAAAGCTCCCATTTACTCTTGCCACCAGCTCCTTGGGAAGATAGGGGCAGGGGCATGCTTCCAGGCAGGGGGTATTCCCAGAACCTTAGTTGGAGGGATGTTTATTTGGATTGGGGGGTAAGGGGAAGTGTCTCAGAATTGGTCTGAGCAGATGTTTTGAACATCTGTGACCACCATTCCTGGTGTGGGTGTGTCCCAGTCCTTTTGGACACTGGATCTGAAGAAATGGAAGCACTGACGTGGAGGGCCCTGAATCCCAAGCCTGCTGCTGCTGGGACCCTTAAAGTTGAGGTGCACCACAAGGCTCACCACTGCGTGTTTCCGAAAGTCCCCAGTGTCTTCAGGGCCTCTGAGGCTACAGTGGGCAGTGCTCAGTATACTGCTTAGAGCCAATGCTGAGGGGACAGGGAGCCAGCAAGTCAAGTGCCACATCCTGACCTGGAGAGGTGCCCTGGCCCATTTCCTTCTCCAGCTTTGTGATACTGCCTTTGTTTCCTTCCACTTGGATGGAGTCCCGCCACCGTGGTAATATTAAGTAGCACCAAAAGCTCTACCCAGAGCCTACTATGTGCTTTACATCCATTCTCAGACATTCTTACAACACGGAGGCATTTTTCCTGCTTTACCAATCAGGAAACTGCTCAAGGAGATTAAGTAACTTACCCAAGGCCTCCTATGTGTAACTAGGACTGGACCTTTAGTCTGTCTGACTCCAATATCAGGATGAGCTTGCTTTTTTCCTCAGCAAGCTGCCTCTGGGAGCCCCAAAAGGCTCCAGGACTGAGGAGGCTTCTAAAAGGGCCTCACATGCCCCAGGAGCCAGGTGGATACAGAACGAGGGTTCGCACTCTCAGAGAGTTGGTCCCCAGTTCCCATGCAGGGAGTGGAGCTTCTGAGCACTGCCAGAGCAACAGGCAGGGTTCTTGCCAGCACGGAGCCTCACGGAGTGAGCAGGCAGGTGGAGCTCTTGCTCCACCACAGCCCCTCTGCGGTCTCTGCAGCCGTTTGCATTTCCTGAAACCGGATCTTGGTGTCAGAGCCGCCCCCAGCCGGGCGGGCGCCTCAGCCATGGCCCTGCGCAAGGAACTGCTCAAGTCCATCTGGTACGCCTTTACCGCGCTGGACGTGGAGAAGAGCGGCAAAGTCTCCAAGTCCCAGCTCAAGGTGAGGGGCACCCAGGGCCCAGGGGAGGAGGGCAGATGCACCACACCAGCCCTTGCCGCCTGGGAGCCAGGTGTGGACACTGTGCCACTCCAGGGGCACCCAGCCATCCAGTGTCCCGGGCCCAGGGTCAGGGGGTTGGTCCTGGGTAACTGGGCCAACATAGCCTGGTCGATGCCGCTGCCCACCTTCCAGAGACCTAGTGAAGTATGCGCAGAAACCTTGTGCAGAACTGGGCCCCACAACTGGAGGCCAGGGGTTTCTGAGGGCCATCATGGGGTTCTGAGGGCCAGGAGCCAGGCCACATCCCAGACTCCATGTGATGAGCACACACATCTCCACAGAGTCATGCTTGGGCACGCAGTCTGCTCTTTCTTGCCGCTTCCTCCTGACTTTCAAGAGAAACAGTTAGCCAGTACTTGGCAGTCATTTCCTTTGGAGCTGAGAGAGGCATAAAGGGGCCGCCCCCAGTCCCAAACCAGTCTGGCCTGCCTAACCCTGCCCCCCAGGTGAAAAAGAGCTGCGGAGTGGGTGAGGACTGAGGACCCTATTATACTGCTACCCAGCTCACTCCCCTATCCCCTACACATACCGGGTTGGTAAACTTACCTTAGGCCTTGAGACCTCAGGTAGGGAAGGGGTGGAATCTAAGCCCAGGAAAATCCCCATCAATGATTGTCCTGAAGTCAATCATCTGGCCTAGACAATTTCTGGAAGACCGAGGAGTTTTTCTCTCTCTTCCTCTAGTCGTCCATTAGTGCTGCCTTCCCTACCCTAGTTAGTGGGGAGGAAGCAAGGCCCTCAGCCACTAGAACCAGTGAACGCTGGGGGAAAGGAGCAAGGTAGGCCTCAGCTTTCTTGGACCTGCCATAGGGGTGCCTTCATTCACTCTGCAAGTACTTGAGTGCCCCTCGTGGGGCTCTGTGCCTGGCATGTGGCTAGGCACTAAACTCCTGGTGTCTCCCTACCCCATCCTCCAAAGGAGATGTGTGTGTCTCAAGGAAATCTCCATTCTTAATGACCGAGGTAGAGGGTGCCTGGGAGATGAATGGGACAGAATAGTTACTGTGCCCCACTACAGTTCCAACCCCTGACTTTACTGAACTTGGACGCGAGGAACTTGAATATCCCAGACTTGAATATACAGAACGAGGGTTCCCTCTCTCAGAGAGTTGGTCCCCAGTTCCCATGCAGGGAGTGGAGCTTCTGAGCACTGCCAGAGCAACTGGCAGGGTTCTTGCCTGTTGAATATCCCAGACTGGTCCTATGTTACAGTTCCTTACCTGGATTTGCGGAAATCTAATAGATGATTTCACTCCCCCAGGAAGGAGAGCCCACTACCATCTTTTGTCACCTGGGGAGAACTTCCTAACAGATTCTTCCTTACATCCTATTTAAATCTCTTGTATTGCAGATCATGTCATTTGGTTGGGTTCTCAGTATAAATGGAAAAAAGTCGATCATCCAAAATCCATTTCTGCAAACTCTGTATCCCACCCCTATCTCCCACCCTGCCCCTTTAATATCTTGCCAGACATACCAGCCCCCGTGGCTCTTTGCTTCCAGGGTAACATTTTTCACCTCCGTATTACCTGTGGCCCCGAAACCTCTCCAGGCTCTCTCTGCCCTTCACATATGGAAGGTACAGCCTTTAACTGGTTCCCCTTTTCCTGGTGCCATCAGCCAGTAAAACTTCCTAGCTTGAGCCTCTGTCTTGCCCTCTAAAAGGGCCAGTACCCACTCCCTCACCCCCATAGGTTGCATATTTCTAGGGAAATACTTCATGGAGAGCTTGCATGCTTGAACTGTCCACTGTCTGTACCTTATCACAGCTCATATTGAGCCTAATGCCAGCAACATCTGTGGTCACACAGGATCAATGATAGAGTTCACTCCTACTTGACAGAAAAATTGTCCACTCTGGAAGCCTGAGCTAACAGTGGGAGTCTCAGGGGCCAAGTGGGGGTGGGGCAGAAATGGCAGGGCTCCGTTCAAGCCCATAATAGTGAATATTGGAAGGGGAGGAAGTAGTGATAGTGTCGAGGGGTGGGGATTCCAGCAAAGCAAAGGAGTAATAGAGAAGTGGTCAAAAGGCAAAGGAGGAAGCAGACGAGAGAGTTATACAAGCAGGGCCCACCTCTCCCCTGAAAAGACTTGGGGCTGAGGGAAAAGACCTTGGAGTCAATCTGGTTTTTTGTTGTTGTTGTTTTAGAGATGAGATCTTGCTCTGTCACTCATGCTGGGTACAGTGGTGCAATCATAGCTCACTACAGCCTTAAACTCCTGGGTTCAAGCGATCTTCCTACTTCAGCCTCCTGAGTAGCCGGGACTACAGGCACGTGCCACCGTGCCTCGCTAATTTTTTTATTTTTTATTTTTTAGAGCCTGAGTCTGATTATGTTGTCCCGGCTGGTTTCAAACTTCTGGCCTCAAGTGATCCTCCGGCTTCTGCCTCCTGAGTAGCTGGAATTATAGTCTTGAGCCACCTCACTGGGCTGGTTACTAAAACCATCCCTAGCCATAGGGTCCTGGGTTGGGACCTGGCAGGAGACCTGCACTAGCCCAGGGCAAGATGTGTCGGTGGGTGACATTTGCCACTTCTCCTCTAATGTGTTGGTAGAGGGGCTCCCAGTGGCTATCCTGGGCAAACCCATGATGAGGCCAGAGGGTAGGAGGAAGAACAGCATGTCCTCTGAGAAAAGCCCAAGGAGTGGGGTTGTTTCTCCTGGAGAAGAGAAGGCTTGAGGGAAAAAACAGATACTTCTTCCTCTCTTTGAATTCTTGAAGAAAGCACAATGGCTTCGTCCAGTTGGGTTGAGAACAGAGAAAGTAAACCAATAGGAACGGCACTCCTGCCCAGGATGGATTTAGGTTGAACACAAAACTTCCCAGGAGTTGAGGGCTGTGAGTTTTTGCAAGGTTCCCAGAACCACCTCTAAAAATATTTAAAAGGTAGCCATCCTGACAGAGGGCTGTAAAGAGGGGAGCCTTTGGGAATGATGTGTGGCCTACTGACCACACCCTCTTCCCCAGGGGAGCAGTTTTGATTTCGGGACTAGTGGAGGATCAGTTGATAATTTGGCCTCCTTCCCCCTTGACTATCAGGCAGTGGGGTGAAGGGGTATGTAGATGGAGCAGTGTGTCTCCGGTTTGATGAGGATCTTAAGGAGGCACCAGGCCTACCACTTCCTCCTTGACTGACAGGAGCTGGGGGAAGGGAGGGAGGGTAGACAGGGTCCTTCCAGTCTCCTGCACCTCCAGCTGACATTCAGAGCATTCCTGGAGCCCAGAGTGAGACTCTTGCCCACTGAGAGTCAATGAGCTTCAGGTTTTGCCGCCTCTGGAGAGGGACAACCACCTTCTCCTTAATGGAGGAAAAGTTAAGAACAGCTCTAGTCCAAAAACCTGCTAGCTAGGATCATCAGCTTTGTCCTGACCCCTGTGTGCTACTGGTCTCTCCAAGCTAGGATTTGTGGGTAGGGAAGGGAGGATGATTTAATGATGTGCAGAGCACTTGACTCAGAACCACACAGGTTTGGATCCGTACTGCTTCCCATCTGGGTGACTTTAAGCAAGTCACTGTCCGTCTTCAGTTTCTCATCTATAAACCAGGGGGTTGATCACCAAGTCATCCAGCCAGCCTACAAAAATAAAGAATAAATTCTGTACCTCAAATAGGTAAAATTGGTCTGTGATGCAGCCTCTCCTTTCCCTTAACTGGGCCTCTGTCTCCTTTGACGCCCACACCCAACCCCTCCAGCCCCCTCTCAGAAGGTGGCACGGCTAATCCAAAGATTCCCACCTTTTAAAATTTCCAGTGTTACTCCATGATAGTAGTTATGCTTTTCTAGTAACTCACTAGAATACATTTGGTAACTCTTAAAAGGAGCTGTGTCTTTTTTTTTTTTTTTTTTTTTTTTTGAGACAGAGTCTTGCTCTGTCACCCAGGTTGGAGTGTAGTGGCATGATCTTGGCTCACTGCAACCTCCACCTCCCAAGTTCAAGTGATTCTCCTGCCTCAGCCTCCCAAGTAGCTGGAATCACAGGTGCCCACACCACGCCCAGCTAATTTTTGTATTTTTAGTAGAGCCAGGATTTCGCCATGTTGGCCAGGCTGATCTTGAACTCCTGACCTCAGGTGATCCGCCTGCCTTGGCCTCCCAAAGTGCTGCGATTACAGGCATGAGCCACCGCACCTGGCTGGATCTGTGTCTTTTAAAAGGGTCACTTGGAACCTAGATTCATTTAAAGACCTTGCTGGGCACCGTGGCTCACACCTGTAATCCCAGCACTTTGGGAGGCCATGGCAAAATAATCACTTGAGTCCAGGAGTTTGAGACCAGCCCTGGCAACATAGCAAGACCCCAACTCTACAAAAAACGAAAAATTTAGGCATGATGGCGCGTGCCTATAGTCCCTGCTACTCTGGAGGCTGAGGTGGAAGGATCGCTTGAGTGGGAGAGGTCAAGGCTGCAGTGATCCGTGGTTACACCACTGCATTCCAGCCTGGGCTAATAGAGTGAGATTCTTTCTTAAGAAAAAAAAAAAAAAGGTCAATTTAGGAGCGAAATCTTTCTGAAATCGTTGCTGGGTGCTTTTATGGATTCCCAAACCCTGGGGATCCTGAAGGCTGGAAACTACAGAATCAGTTCTTGCTGACTTGCCAGCATGGACCTGACACCCACACTTGAGTTTTTAGGATCCCCAATCCCCACATCTGAGTTTTAGAGGATCCCTCAAGTCCCGAGAGGAGAACTAGTCCCCTACATGCCTCCAGAGGAAAGAGTGAATAGATGAAGCATCTCAAATGTCAGTGACTGCCAACTCAGAGGCCAGGGGCTCCCTGGGTTTGTGGAGACTGTGGGAGTCCTCTCTGAGGAAACCCGAATGGCAGCTTGTGAAAAATACACCTGGACCCCACCCCTGGAAACTCTGAGTCAGTAGGTCTGGGCTGGGCGGGCATGTTTCAGTTTCACCAGCTCCCTGGGTGATTGTGGTGCTCA